GAACATGTTATATATTACAAAAGAAAAAGACTTGCTGATCAGATGCATTCCAGATATTTGAGGAAAAGATGTTTTCTATAAGGATAGGCAGCTATAGCAAATGAGCTTAGGGGAAATGTTGAGTTAAGATTAACTATTTAATAATTGTAATGACAGAGATACCATCACAGCAACAAATGTAATTGGGTTTGTATGACTAATTAATGAATATCCTATAAATAATAGCAAAATGCTGTAGTGGTCGTCCATCAGACTTTGAGGTGGTGGGGGAGATTTGGACCTTTGTGTCAAGGGCGGGAGGGGGTTCAGAAAGTAAGATGACACTTTTCAATGTTCAACAAACACTCATGTTAAGAAACTGAATCTAAGCCTTTATTTGCATTAAAAGTTGTTTTATAAATTGTTATAAAATAATTAATCAATAGGCTTACATTGAATGTTGGAAAAGCCCATAGGTCTAAATACTTTATGAAAATCGCTGCAATAGCGGGGGGGGGGGGGGGGGGGGGGAGGGGGCTTAGGTTTACTTTTTTTGGGGAAGGGGGGAGTCTGGCATCGTTGTGACATCGTTAATAGATGACCCCATAGTCAGAGGTCGATCTAGATTGATTAGGCTTATATTAAACTGTTGATAGGTCGGCGTGGTCGAGTCGGTAAAGCTCATGGTTGCTAAACCGAAAAGTCTCGAGTTCGAACCCTCGGGCAGATGAGGCTCGTTAGCTGGGGACAGCCACTCTTCTAGGAGAGACAACTCCAAAATTAAACAACTGCTGCCTTGTAGTTTGTTCTTGGTTGGACAAAGGCTATGGAAGCAAATCCAAAAAGAAAAGCAGGCTGAAATCGGAGTCAACGGCCTCAATGGCGCATAACCAGTTGACACGTAACGCTTAATTGTGTTGGAGGCGTGGTCGAGTCGGAAAAAAGCTCATGGTTGATAAATTCGAACAAAGTCTCGAGTTCAAACCCACTGGCAGATAAATCTCGATCCCCTTCAACACTAATAATTAAGAACGAAGAAGAAGAAGAAGAAGAAACTGTTGATATTAATTACGCTTTACTTATTATTACAATGGAATATAGCCTAGTAGTTTATTTATATTAAATAATATAACATCCCCTTTCACCACAACACCCTGACTATACTAATCCAAATTAAAATTAAAATGTTTTGTAAATTACTATTATAGTATTAGTAATTTTGTGTTTAAATATTTTTAGCTTTAGTAAAACCGGAAGTGACTTTGTACTTATTTCACAAATATTTTAAAATATTCAATTTTGGTTCAAAAATATACTTTCTGGCAACACAAAGTGGAACCACTTTTGGAACCACTTTTCCTACCTATTGGAAAACATCTCCTAGTTGTTTTTTAAAATGATGAACATTTGTTGTGTGTTCAACAGACTAATAACAGTTATCTCCGCTGTTCCGGTACTGCAACACGAAACCCCCGATGACGTACGGTTTCCATAACAACCATAGAACGGAAATTGTGATGGAAACATACGCATGGCATTTTTATTTTTATTTTTTATTTTTTTATAATTTGTTTTAAAATTTATGTTTTGCTGCTGGCGATTGAAAATTCTTGAGTTGAATTTGATATGAAGCAGTAATTATCTGGATTAAGATTTGATATGAAGCAGTAATTATCTGGATTAAGATTTGATATGAAGCAGTAATTATCTGGATTAAGATTTGATATGAAGCAGTAATTATCTGGATTAAGATTTGATATGAAGCTGTAATTATCTGGATTAAGATTTGATATGAAGCAGTAATTATCTGGATTAAGATTTGATATGAAGCAGTAATTATCTGGATTAAGATTTGATATGAAGCAGTAATTATCTGGATTAAGATTTGTTAGAGGAAAATGCGAGCATTTGTGACACACTGAGATTGAGTTGAGATTTTTTGGGTCGGTTAGCCTTGTACGCTACGTCAGGCCGAGACCGAATGGTTGCTATTGTGTATAAAATAAATGTCAACGGCGAGGTGACTTCCCTTTGTGCACAGGGAGCAGAGTCGTGTGTGTGTGTGCGCGGGGGGGGGGGGGGGGGGCGCCTGTATGCGATAGACATTTTGCTTCTTGTGCGTAGGGGGGGGGGGGGTAAAAAATTTCAGAGGTAGGTTCAATTTTTTTTTTTTACCTAGTAATGGGTCAACACATTAAACTCGTAATGAATCAACTAACTCTTGTTTTGATTAAGCTATCTATATTTATGGTATACATTATTTATGGTATACATTATTTATGGTATACATTATTTATGAACATAGAATCACAGCTGTAATTGACAACAACATCCACGATAAATATCACAGTTCATTTCCTTTGCGTTCTATAAATAGACACATATTAACATAAAACAAAGCACATGAAGCTATTATAAAACAAAAACCAACAACACGGAATTAGTAAGGCATATACAAATGTTTTCACGATCAATTCATTTGTAAAGTTTATAAATAGAATGTGGTAAAATATGGAATGGCTTGAACGTAACTTGCTGTTTTTAATACTTGCACCAACAAGATGGCTGAAAGCTACCAAACATGAGATCCTTGAATAACCGATTCACTACGCCAGCCCTCACAAAGGTCATCACCTCACAGGCATGACGCAGGATGTTACCTGTCAGCCATGACGCAGGATGTTACCTGTCAGGCATGACGCAGGATGTTACCTGTCAGGCATAACGCAGGATGTTACCTGTCAGGCATGACGCAGGATGTTACCTGTCAGGCATGACGCAGGATGTTACCTGTCAGGCATGACGCAGGATGTTACCTGTCAGGCATGACGCAGGATGTTACCTGTCAGGCATCACGCAGGATGTTACCTGTCAGGTATAACGCAGGATGTTACCTGTTAGGTATAACGCAGGATGTTACCTGTCAGGCATGATAAATGTTCGCCAACAAATCAGCTGGGTGCTCATAACCTTGAAAGTTTCAATGTTCGCCAACAAATCAGCTGGGTGCTCATAACCTTGAAAGTTTCAATGTTCGCCAACAAATCAGCTGGGTGCTCATAACCTTGAAAGTTTCAATGTTCGCCAACAAATCAGCTGGGTGCTCATGACCTTGAAAGTTTCAATGTTCGCCAACAATTGAGCTGGGGTCTCCCCAGGTGCAAAAAACAGAAACACATTGCGTATGTTGTTTGATCGGGGGGAGGAATGCAAGTTGCAGAAATCCAATCATTGTCTTCAGGTGTAAAGTCAAAGTAGTTTGTTCTATGGTCCAGTTGTGCAGAAGTTTATCAGCTGAAGAGATTCTTTTGTAAAGACCAAAGTTTAGTTTATCAGCTGAAGAGATTCGTTTGTAAAGACCACAGTTTAGTTTATCAGCTGAAGAGATTCTTTTGTAAAGACCACAGTTTAGTTTATCAGCTGAAGAGATTCTTTTGTAAAGACCAAAGTTTATCAGCTGAAGAGATTCTTTTGTAAAGACCAAAGTTTAGTTTATCAGCTGAAGAGATTCTTTTGTAAAGACCAAAGTTTAGTTTATCAGCTGAAGAGATTCTTTTGTAAAGACCAAAGTTTAGTTTATCAGCTGAAGAGATTCTTTTGTAAAGACCAAAGTTTAGTTTATCAGCTGAAGAGATTCTTTTGTAAAGACCAAAGTTTATCAGCTGAAGAGATTCTTTTGTAAAGACCAAAGTTTAGTTTATCAGCTGAAGAGATTCTTTTGTAAAGACCAAAGTTTAGTTTATCAGCTGAAGAGAAGAGATTCTTTTGTAAAGACCAGTTTAGTTTATCAGCTGAAGAGATTCTTTTGTAAAGACCAAAGTTTAGTTTATCAGCTGAAGAGATTCTTTTGTAAAGACCAAAGTTTAGTTTATCAGCTAAAGAGATTCTTTTGTAAAGACCAAAGTTTAGTTTATCAGCTGAAGAGATTCTTTTGTAAAGACCAAAGTTTAGTTTATCAGCTGAAGAGATTCTTTTGTAAAGACCAAAGTTTAGTTTATCAGCTGAAGAGATTCTTTTGTAAAGACCAAAGTTTAGTTTATCAGCTGAAGAGATTCATTTGTAAAGACCAAAGTTTAATTTGATCAGCTGAAGAGATTCTTTTGTAAAGACCAACGTTTAGTTTATCAGCTGAAGAGATTCTTTTGTAAAGACCAAAGTTTAGTTTATCAGCTGAAGAGATTCTTTTGTAAAGACCAAAGTTTAGTTTATCAGCTGAAGAGATTCTTTTGTAAAGACCAAAGTTTAGTTTATCAGCTGAAGAGATTCTTTTGCAAAGGCCAAAGTTTAGTTTATTAGCTGAAGAGATTCTTTTTTAAAGACCAAAGTTTAGTTTATCAGCTGAAGAGATTCTTTTGTAAAGACCAAAGTTTAGTTTATCAGCTGAAGAGATTCTTTTGTAAAGACCAAAGTTTAGTTTATCAGCTGAAGAGATTCTTTTGCAAAGACCAAAGTTTAGTTGCACTTAATATAGTTGTATTGACCAACTTTATAACTTCACTTGTGAAGAACAAATAGTAGTTGGTATGAAGATAAAAGTCCAATGCCAAAAGTTAACCCATATTTCTAGCGGAGTGGAATGCTGAATCCTTCATATTGAATCATCTTTGTCGTTGATCACTTTTAGTAAAAGTTTTATTTTCTGCTTAGCAGGAAACGAATTAGCCATCTGGGTGACCAGTAATGGTCTCCAGAATTATAATCGACGGCCATTTTAAAAATGTTTTCCGTTGGGCACGCTGGTAATGGTCTCCAGAATTCAAATCGACGGTCATTTTAAAAATGTTTTCCGTTGGGCAGGATGGTAATGGTCTCCAGAATTCAAATCGACGGTCATTTTAAAAATGTTTTCCGTTGGGCAGGATGGTAATGGTCTCCAGAATTCAAATCGACGGCCATTTTAAAAATGTTTTCCGTTGGGCACGCTGGTAATGGTCTCCAGAATTCAAATCGACGGTCAATTTAAAAATGTTTTCCGTTGGGCAGGATGGTAATGGTCTCCAGAATTCAAATCGGCGGCCATTTTAAAAATGTTTTCCATTGGGCAGGCCGGTTGTTGTGTCTTCCATGATAGGCGCTACCCTGTTTGGCTTGGAGGGATACACGCATATAAAAACTCCCAGCAGAGCGACCAGCACAGCGAATACACTGAAGCCAATAAGGCCGCCACACGCAACTGTCATCAGTCGAACAATCTGCAAAATAGGTATAACAATATGTCAAGTTAAAGATAAATAAGGTATAACAATATGTCAAGTTAAAGATAAATAAGGTATAACAATATGTCAAGTTAAAGATAAATAAGGTATAACAATATGTCAAGTTAAAGATAAATAAGGTATAACAATATGTCAAGTTAAAGATAAATAAGGTATAACAATATGTCAAGTTAAAGACACGCCAGGTATAACAATATGTCAAGTTAAAGACATGCCAAGTATAACAATATGTCAAGTTAAAGATAAATAAGGTATAACAATATGTCAAGTTAAAGATAAATAAGGTATAACAATATTTCAAGTTAAAGACATGCCAAGTATAACAATATGTCAAGTTAAAGATAAATAAGGTATAACAATATGTCAAGTTAAAGATAAATAAGTTATAACAATATGTCAAGTTAAAGACACGCCAGGTATAACAATATGTCAAGTTAAAGACACGCCAGGTATAACAATATGTCAAGTTAAAGATAAATAAGGTATAACAATATGTCAAGTTGAAGATAAGCGAGGTATAACAATATGTCAAGTTAAAGATAAATAAGGTATAACAATATGTCAAGTTAAAGATAAATCAGGTATAACAATATGTCAAGTTAAAGATAAATAAGGTATAACAATATGTCAAGTTAAAGATAAATAAGGTATAACAATATGTCAAGTTAAAGATAAATAAGGTATAACAATATGTCAAGTTAAAGACATGCCAAGTATAACAATATGTCAAGTTAAAGATAAATAAGGTATAACAATATGTCAAGTTAAAGATAAATAAGGTATAACAATATGTCAAGTTAAAGATAAATAAGGTATAACAATATGTCAAGTTAAAGATAAATAAGGTATAACAATATGTCAAGTTGAAGATAAGCGAGGTATAACAATATGTCAAGTTAAAGACATGCCAAGTATAACAATATGTCAAGTTAAAGATAATTCAGGTATAACAATATGTCAAGTTAAAGATAATTGAGGTATAACAATATGTCAAGTTAAAGACATGCCAAGTATAACAATATGTCAAGTTGAAGATAAGCGAGGTATAACAATATGTCAAGTTAAAGACATGCCAAGTATAACAATATGTCAAGTTAAAGATAATTCAGGTATAACAATATGTCAAGTTAAAGATAATTCAGGTATAACAATATGTCAAGTTAAAGACACGCCAGGTATAACAATATGTCAAGTTAAAGACGCGCCATGTATAACAATATGTCAAGTTAAAGATAAATCAGGTATAACAATATGTCAAGTTAAAGATAATTCAGGTATAACAATATGTCAAGTTAAAGATAAATCAGGTATAACAATATGTCAAGTTAAAGATAAATCAGGTATAACAATATGTCAAGTTAAAGACACGCCAAGTATAACAATATGTCTAGTTAAAGATAAATCAGGTATAACAATATGTCAAGTTAAAGACACGCCAGGTATAACAATATGTCAAGTTAAAGATAAATCAGGTATAACAATATGTCAAGTTAAAGACACGACAGGTATAACAATATTTCAATTTAAAGACACGCCAAGTATAACAATATTTCAATTTAAAGACACGCCAAGTATAACAATATGTCTAGTTAAAGACACGCCAGGTATAACAATATGTCTAGTTAAAGACACGCCAAGTATAACAATATGTCAAGTTAAAGACACGCCAGGTATAACAATATGTCAAGTTAAAGATAAATCAGGTATAACAATATGTCAAGTTAAAGACACGCCATGGAATAACAATATGTCAAGTTAAAGACACGCCATGGAATAACAATATGTCAAGTTAAAGATAAGCCAGGTATAACAATATTTCAAGTTAAAGATAATTCAGGTATAACAATATGTCAAGTTAAAGATAATTCAGGTATAACAATATGTCAAGTTAAAGATAAGCCAGGTATAACAATATGTCAAGTTAAAGATAAGCCAGGTATAACAATATTTCAATTTAAAGACACGCCAGGTATAACAATATGTCAAATTAAAGACACGCCAGGTATAACAATATGTCAAGTTAAAGACACGCCAGGTATAACAATATGTCAAGTTAAAGATAAGCCAGGTATAACAATATGTCAAGTTAAAGACACGCCAGGTATAACAATATGTCTAGTTAAAGACACGCCAGGTATAACAATATGTCAAGTTAAAGATAATTCAGGTATAACAATATGTCAAGTTAAAGACACGCCAAGTATAAAAATATGTCAAGTTAAAGATAACTCAAGTATAACAATATGTCAAGTTAAAGACACGCCAGTTTTAACAATATGTCAAGTTAAAGATAAATCAGGTATAACAATATGTCAAGTTAAAGACACGCCAAGTATAACAATATGTCCAGTTAAAGACACGCCAGGTATAACAATATGTCAAGTTAAAGATAAATAAGGTATAACAATATGTCAAGTTAAAGACATGCCAAGTATAACAATATGTCAAGTTAAAGATAAATAAGGTATAACAATATGTCAAGTTAAAGATAAATAAGGTATAACAATATGTCAAGTTAAAGACACGCCAGGTATAACAATATGTCAAGTTAAAGATAACTCAAGTATAACAATATGTCAAGTTAAAGATAATTCAGGTATAACAATATGTCAAGTTAAAGATAACTCAAGTATAACAATATGTCAAGTTAAAGACACGCCAGGTATAACAATATGTCAAGTTAAAGATAAATCAGGTATAACAATATGTCTAGTTAAAGACACGCCAAGTATAACAATATGTCCAGTTAAAGACACGCCAGGTATAACAATATGTCAAGTTAAAGATAAATAAGGTATAACAATATGTCAAGTTAAAGACACGCCAGGTATAACAATATGTCAAGTTAAAGATAAATCAGGTATAACAATATGTCAAGTTAAAGATAATTCAGGTATAACAATATGTCAAGTTAAAGATAATTCAGGTATAACAATATGTCAAGTTAAAGATAAGCCAGGTATAACAATATGTCAAGTTAAAGATAAATCAGGTATAACAATATGTCTAGTTAAAGACACGCCAAGTATAACAATATGTCAAGTTAAAGATAAATCAGGTATAACAATATGTCAAGTTAAAGACACGCCAGGTATAACAATATGTCAAGTTAAAGACACGCCAGGTATAACAATATGTCAAGTTAAAGATAAATCAGGTATAACAATATGTCAAGTTAAAGACACGCCAGGTATAACAATATGTCAAGTTAAAGATAACTCAAGTATAACAATATGTCAAGTTAAAGATAAGCCAGGTATAACAATATGTCAAGTTAAAGATAAATCAGGTATAACAATATGTCAAGTTAAAGACACGCCAAGTATAACAATATGTCCAGTTAAAGACACGCCAGGTATAACAATATGTCAAGTTAAAGACACGCCAAGTATAACAATATGTCAAGTTAAAGACACGCCAAGTATAATAATATGTCCAGTTAAAGACACGCCAGGTATAACAATATGTCAAGTTAAAGACACGCCAAGTATAACAATATGTCTAGTTAAAGACACGCCAAGTATAACAATATGTCTAGTTAAAGACACGCCAAGTATAACAATATGTCTAGTTAAAGACACGCCAAGTATAACAATATGTCTAGTTAAAGACACGCCAAGTATAACAATATGTCAAGTTAAAGATAACTCAAGTATAACAATATGTCAAGTTAAAGATAAATCAGGTATAACAATATGTCAAGTTAAAGACACGCCAGGTATAACAATATGTCCAGTTAAAGACACGCCAGGTATAACAATATGTCAAGTTAAAGATAACTCAAGTATAACAATATGTCAAGTTAAAGATAAATCAGGTATAACAATATGTCAAGTTAAAGACACGCCAGGTATAACAATATGTCAAGTTAAAGATAACTCAAGTATAACAATATGTCAAGTTAAAGATAAATCAGGTATAACAATATGTCAAGTTAAAGATAAATCAGGTATAACAATATTTCAATTTAAAGACACGCCAGGTATAATACTATTTCAAATTAAAGAAATGAAATGCTAGGTGTAACTATTTTTTTTTCAAGTAAGAGTAATCAACATAGAATGGTATCGTAATTATTTGGATGTTCAATTAAAGCCATGGTTATAAAAATCTGTTTGGTGGTTTTTTTTCTATTTTGCACTTTACTAAAGATTGGATGCATTATTTTGATGTTTTAAGTATTTTCTGTAGCTACAAAAAGCAAAAAACAAGTAGGTTTTTTACAGTTTGTCACTGAAAATATACACAAACGGCGACATGACAAATGATCTCAGACTAAATATCCCAGACAAAATATCGCAGGACAAATTATCTCAGGACATATTATCACATGGACAAATGATAGCACTATGGGGTCATCCATAAATGACGTCACACTCGTAGGGGGGAGGGGGGGTCCGTAATTTTGTGACGATGTGTGATGAGGGGGAGGGGGGGGGGGGGTCAGATGTTGCGACGTCACATTTTTGCATTATAAAAAAGCAATGTTAGAAAACGAATTTTAGACGTTATTTCGCGTTTTAGATAACTGTTTTAATAAATTGTAATAGTTTAGACAAGATTTGGGAAAAATATCGATGTTTTAAAAAAATTCACAACTGCAATTTCATGGGGGGGTTGTAGGTTAAGGTGTGACGTCATTTTAGGGGGGGGGGGTCTGGCTTTTTGTGACGACGTGTGACGGAGGGGAGGGGGGGGGAGGTAAAAATCGTCAAGGAAAGCGTGACGTCATTTATGGATGACCCCTATATATTCATCTTTTTTGCATTTGATTTATTTACTGTAGAATCTAGTCATTCTTTTTCGTGTAGCTTTCTGAAGTTTCGGCTGGCTGTGCAACTTTTAAATTTACTTATGTTTTCTCTAGCGCGTTCCGGACAGACTAAAACTATTCTAGTGACGAGATAGATACAACGGGCGCTAGGTTGTTAGTGTCGTCTCTTTTCCTACTTTCGACCGATATATTTTACTCACGCGCACAGTGTTCGTTTCTCCTACTTTCGACCGATAGATTTTACTCACGCGCACATTGTTCGTTTCTCCTACTTTCGTCCGATAGATTTTACTCACGCACACAGTGTTCGTTTCAGGCTTTTTTCCCCGGGGGAGGGGGGTTAACTTGAATTTTTAGAGGGGCGAATTCATTTCGACGGGTCGGGGGAGGACGACACTGGTAGAAGTATATATATTCTATATAAATTATATTACGCCTTTTTTTTTGGGGGGGGGGGGGGGAGGGGAATAGACGTTCTACTGTCGGGGGGGGGGGGGAGGGGGGTAAAAGGGGCTTTCCCCCTACCAGAAGAGAAACTCTTCACGCAAAATACTTATAACATTAGACACATAATTTAGTCCGTAATGTCAGTATTTTTACTTTCTCGTATGTACGTAGTATAGAGAAAGTATTGTAATCGTGCAAAAAAAAAAATCGAGATTTTTACAAATCTCGACGTTTTACACCTCACTGATACGGAAAAACATAATTTTGCAATCTTGTCCGTATGTCTGTGTGTGTGTGTGTCTGTCTGTGTGTGTGTCTGTCCGTCTGTAAACACGATAACTTGAGTACCGTTACAGCTAGGTTGATGAAATTTCATATATAAGTATTTTATCAAAATCGTAGATCCGTATCAACTTTTGAGCGATTTCCGATAACCGGAAGTGGTACTTTTCCTACTTTGAATTTTTAAAAAGCCTATAACTTGAGTACTATTTCAGATAGATAAATGAAATTTCACGTGTAAGTAAAAGATCTAATTCTCTACCTTCTGTAAAATTTTGAGTAATTTCCGTTGACTGGAAGTAGTAATTTACGCTACTTCCGATTTCTCAAAAAACTAATGTAAATTTTAAAAGTACTAATAATATTGCGCACTATTATGCGCTTTTTTTATTTGCGTTCACTTGGTGTGCAATTAATTTGTCTACGAGATTTTATTCTATTTTTAAAACTTTAAGTATTTAAAATGGATTAAAAATCATGTCTATAGCCCGAGTTTCCATCCCCTGTTATTTTATATAAGAATATTCGAGAAAGTTTAGGGGAGATCACTCCCGGTTTATTATTATGGAGTATCGATAACGTCATTTCTTTGAGGGGAAGTGGAGGTGGCATAGACATTCTACCGGGGGTATAAAATTATAACACTATAAATTATACACTACTATTTAAATAACTATAAAGAAAAGCGTGGGCCACTTTAGTGTCTATTGGATACCTTTACTAATATTTAGGAAGAGAACCACGCTTTTCTTTATAGTAATTTAAATAGTAGTGTATAATTTATATTCTACTTTTTAGTGCATTATTGCGTAAAAGCTTGTAATTAAAACGTTTTTTATGATTTTTTTTAGTACTTTACATGTTTTTATTTACAATAGAGTTACAGGACTTTATGATTATTTAAATAGTTGCATTGCTGTATACTGAGGAGAATTATTTATTTTCTACTTTTTAGTGAATTATTATATCAAAGCTTGTTACCAAAAGGTTTTTATTTTATTTTATTCTTGTCCATCTCAACAAGAATGATGGAAAGATTCTCATCTAATCGTTGATGCCCATTGCTGATTTGCTAGTACAATAAACGTGGGAATTCCCCATTTTTGCATGGTAAATAAAGCACAATTTTGAGTCGGCGAGAAACGGATGTTAACAACTTTCAGTTACGATAAATGGCGGGTTGGTAAACCCTGTCTTATCATCCGATTTTGCCTAGTTATTTTACAAATTTAAAAAAAGAATCAGATTCTCAAATTAAAAACACTAGATCTACTTGTCAAAAGCAATACAACAAGAATCAACCATCCGTTGAAATAAAGCGAACTTAATCCGAAGCAAACTTGAGTTGAAGCTGGAAAAGGTCAACTGAATGACAACCGGATCTTAACATTTGAGTAACTAGATCTAGATCTACCCCCAATCAACTTCATCATGACTTCCAAAGGAAAAAAGTGCAAAACGAAACAACAGTCAGTCGGCATCCTCTTGAGCAATCTCTACAAAAAACCGGCAGCGACGATCGCAATCGATCTAAACAAAGTGCTGCAACAACTGAAGCTTACTGAAACTAGTGTCAAACATATCGTCGTGCCGGATAACCAAGGTTTAGTCGAGCTCATCTTCAGAAATCAAGCTAGCGAGACCGTAGCTTTTGATCATTTCAAAAATTTACAGAAGTTGGAGAACATCCCTGAGATGATGAATCTGATCGACGACCCAAAAAATTTGATGGTGGAGAGGATCCCGACTGACTGTCACATAAAGGTGGGCATCTAGAAAATATTAACATTACATTGTTACTTCATTCAATGGTGAATATGTGATTATTTTGAATACCTTAACGTTGTTACTTAATTGTTCAGTAGGTGTATTGTTATTGAATACTTTAACGTTGTTACTTAATACATTTTACTTAATAAGTTGTTAACGTTGCTACTTAATTAAATAATGTGGAGGTGGAAATGTGTTGAATATTTTAATGTTTTCCGCGCGGTGGGTATCAAAACGCACGGGCACCTTTCTTCATTATTATAGCTACCCTTATCATGACTATAACTTTATCATAAGTGCAAACTAACCCTGACAGCGAAACTTTCAGAAAATCAAGCGATATGACCATACACCAATCATCAAATGGTATAGATATTTTGTATTTGTCGATTAACTATCTTTTAATTTACCTAGCAATGTCACTAATGATATAAAGTCACCACTCGTAGCTGAAACATCCCTAAACATATACTCAGTGGCGTCGTTAGGTCGGGTGTCACCCGGTGCGGTACTTCGTGGTGTCACCTCTCCGAAAAAACAAAGTATATATATATATATATATATATATATATATATATATATATATATATATATATATATATATATATATATATATATATGTGTGTGTGTGTGTGCGTGTGCGTGTGTTTGTATAACTACCTACAGACTTTATAGTAACGATGTTTATCTATAGTCTGTTAATAATACAGTTGGATGTAGCATTGCTTTCTTTATATTTAGCACATCTACGTCATAGTGTCACCTCAACCTTGTTGTAACAATGGTCGTATGTACTTCAAAGAGTTTTTAACTTTTTTACTGTACATTTTGCAATTTTTTGCCTTGGTGTCAGCCCCCGCATACATGGTGTCATCCGGTGCGGTCCGCAACCCCTCCCCCGCTCCGGCATCGCGACGTCTCTGATTTGATTGTGTATTGGTACCTCATAGAATAAAAATTACTGATAAAATAATTTGATTGTGTATTGGTACCTCATAGAATAAAAATTACTGATAAAATAATTTGATTGTGTATTGAGACTACACATAAAAAACGTAGTATTGAATTTAAAAAGTTAGAAAAAAGTATCGCATACCCTCTGAAGAAAAAAGTATCGCATACCCTCTGAAGAAAAAAGTATCGCATACCCTCTGAAGAAAAAAGTATCGCATACGATCTGAAGAAAAAAGTATCGCATGCCATCTGAAGAAAAAAGTATCGCATACCATCTGAAGAAAAAAGTATCGCATACCATCTGAAGAAAAAAGTATCGCATACCATCTGAAGAAAAAAGTATCGTATACCATCTGAACTCACTGATTTCTGTAAAAGAATATTCTTTTCAACATACTCGACATATTTTTGGTTTACATAACAAAGGTGCTTGTTTTTTAAAATAAATTTTTATTTTTGTTACTCGACCCCCCCCCCCCCCCCCCAACCCGAAAGATCCCAACAGTATTTTAATATTTGTTTTCGAAGTTTATTCAGCCAAACGTTGTAAATCAGAAAATGCAGTCGAAAGCGTTTGTCATTGTAATTAACCGAATAATCACTGACTTTGTCTGATCAAGTATTACAAACTTTTTCTACAGAGAATGAAAAGGACGGTTTTCCTCATCGTGGGAAACAAACTATCGGTACTTGATGAGTTTGAGGAAGAAGCTACATGTTTACAGTCGCCAGAACCTACGGCCCAACAGCCTCCTGTAAAGAAAGAGAAAGGTAAATCGCCACCGTTGCCAGAACCTACGGTCCAACAGCCTCCTGTAAAGAAAGCGAAAGGTAAATCGCCACCGTTGCCAGAACCTACGGTCCAACAGCCTCCTGTAAAGAAAGAGAAAGGTAAATCGCCACCGTTGCCAGAACCTACGGTCCAACAGCCTCCTGTAAAGAAAGAGAAAGGTAAATCGCCACCGTTGCCAGAACCTACGGTCCAACAGCCTCCTGTAAAGAAAGCGGAAGGTAAATCGCCACCGTTGCCAGAACCTACGGTCCAACAGCCTCCTGTAAAGAAAGAGAAAGGTAAATCGCCACCGTTGCCAGAACCTACGGTCCAACAGCCTCCTGTAAAGAAAGCGGAAGGTAAATCGCCACCGTTGCCAGAACCTACGGTCCAACAGCCTCCTGTAAAGAAAGCGGAAGGTAAATCGCCACCGTTGCCAGAACCTACGGTCCAACAGCCTCCTGTAAAGAAAGAGAAAGGTAAATCGCCACCGTTGCCAGAACCTACGGTCCAACAGCCTCCTGTAAAGAAAGAGAAAGGTAAATCGCCACCGTTGCCAGAACCTACGGTCCAACAGCCTCCTGTAAAGAAAGAGAAAGGTAAATCGCCACCGTTGCCAGAACCTACGGTCCAACAGCCTCCTGTAAAGAAAGAGAAAGGTAAATCGCCACCGTTGCCAGAACCTACGGTCCAACAGCCTCCTGTAAAGAAAGAGAAAGGTAAATCGCCACCGTTGCCAGAACCTACGGTCCAACAGCCTCCTGTAAAGAAAGAGAAAGGTAAATCGCCACCGTTGCCAGAACCTACGGTCCAACAGCCTCCTGTAAAGAAAGAGAAAGGTAAATCGCCACCGTTGCCAGAACCTACGGTCCAACAGCCTCCTGTAAAGAAAGAGAAAGGTAAATCGCCACCGTTGCCAGAACCTACGGTCCAACAGCCTCCTGTAAAGAAAGAGAAAGGTAAATCGCCACCTATAATTGAACCGAAAACCGAACCTACAACCTCAGAGCAACCTACAACTGCTGCGGGTGAGGTGGACGATGGTAAACCTAAAACTAAGACGACTTCCACTATAGCAGTCAACCCGTGCAACTGTCCAGAAACTATCACCTATGTCGTTGGCAGTTTAGTCGGCTCTGAGTCGAGGCACGTCGAGTTTAAAATGGGGGGACATATCGGTAACGAAACTGAATTCGGACAACTAATTGGTAAATACGTGACTGGGTTCCTCAACTCTGGCGGTGGCATTCTTTTCTTTGGAGTCGACGATAACGGGATAGTCGTTGGCTTGCGCCTAAGATATAAACAAACCCTACATCTCAGTCGTAAAATCAAATCCGTTATCAGGGATATCAAGCCCTATGTGAGAGCTGAGGAGTACTCCATCAATTTCGCCAACGTTTCAGATAAAGAAGGTAAGGTAAAGTTAAATAAGAGGGTCTTAGAGTTGTGCGTCAAGCCTCGTGACCCAGCTCCAGCTGAGAGAATGTACTCGTACTTGGGCATCAAGTACGTCCGCATGACCAGCAGTACCAGGACTATTAGGGACCCGCAAGCCCTCGATATTGCTTTAGGTTGACGGGAGTATCAGGACAACTAAGGACCCCGCATCCTTCGATATTGCTTTAGGTTGACGGGAGTATCAGGACTATTAAGGACCCCGCATCCCTCGATATTGCTTTAGGTTGACGGGAGTATCAGGACTACTAAGGACCCCGCATCCCTCGATATTGCTTTAGGTTGACGGGAGTATCAGGACAACTAAGGACCCCGCATCCCTCGATATTGCTTTATGTTAAAAGCCTAGATATCAAAAGCCTACTTAAACTGAAAAGAAACAATTGAAAAGAAACCTACAGCCCAACAACCACCTATTACTGAACAGAAACCTACAACCCAGCAGCCAACTACAATTGAACAGAAACCTACTACTCAACGCACATCTAAACCGCCCCTACCTACTTCTAATGGATTTGATCACTATCGAGAAGGCCGACTTCCACACAACCAACTAATGCAACTGTAACTCGCTCTATACATAGCGCTCCTATATCTGCATTAGACAAGGCACTGCCTGTTGAAAGATAGGAAATTTACCTTTACAACAGAGACTAGTTAACCAGTATCGGTAAATAAGCGTGTGGCTTTCTCAACTATGGCGCTTGCATTATTTTCCTGGAAGTCACCGAGAACAGGAGAGTCATAGGTCTAGACGTGGAGTAACATTCTGCGGTAAGGATAATCTAGCCGGCTGTAGCCTAGACGTGGAGTAACATTCTGCGGTAAGGATAATCTAGCCGGCTGTAGCCTAGACGTGGAGTAACATTCTGCGGTAAGGATAATCTAGCCGGCTGTAGCCTAGACGTGGAGTAACATTCTGCGGTAAGGATAATCTAGCCGGCTGTAGCCTAGACGTGGAGTAACATTCTGCGGTAAGGATAATCTAGCCGGCTGTAGCCTAGACATGGAGTAACATTCTGCGGTAAGGATAATCTAGCCGGCTGTAGCCTAGACGTGGAGTAACATTCTGCGGTAAGGATAATCTAGCCGGCTGTAGCCTAGACATGGAGTAACATTCTGCGGTAAGGATAATCTAGCCGGCTGTAGCCTAGACATGGAGTAACATTCTGCGGTAAGGATAATCTAGCCGGCTGTAGCCTAGACATGGAGTAACATTCTGGACAATACCATTGATCAACTCGGCGGTAAGGATAATGTTGACGGCTGTAACCTAGAGCGAGTATATCTATTTCACCAAGTCCACAGAAGAATTGTCGCAGGACAATTGTTATGGAGGTGTGGGCTAAACCTAAGACAATGTTAACAGCAGTGCCGAAGCAGATTCCCAGCTTTATAAATAAAACAATGCAATAATCGGATAAACTGTTTTAAAAATTGTTTGTTACAACCATCTTTCATTAAGTCATTTCTGGTTGTTTTTTTAATTTTTGCGACATAACTTAAAAATGGATGTTAATGTAAAATGATGAAGCATCGTTTCTAAAACGACATCTGATTGGTGTGGTCAAGACTTGTCAAACCTTTGACTGGTGTGGTCAACACTTGTCAAACCTTTGACTGGTGTGGTCAAGACTTGTCAAACCTTTGACTGATGTGGTCAACACTTGTCAAACCTTTGACTGGTGTGGTCAACACTTGTCAAACCTTTGACTGGTGTGGTCAACACTTGTCAAACCTTTGACTGGTGTGGTCAAGACTTGTCAAACCTTTGACTGGTGTGGTCAAGACTTGTCAAACCTTTGACTGGTGTGGTCAAGACTTGTCAAACCTTTGACTGGTGTGGTCAACACTTGTCAAACCTTTGACTGGTTTGGTCAACACTTGTCAAACCTTTGACTGGTGTGGTCAACACTTGTCAAACCTTTAACTGGTTTGGTCAACAATTGTCAAACAGTGGATTCAATTAATGAAACATCTAGTTATGAACTTGAACGAAATTTGTTCTCTAGAGGTGGTCGCTTGTCGCAGAAGCGTAGCCACCATTTCCGGCACCAACCATCCACACCCGAAACATCCAGCCTCCCACCTACTCACACCCCAACCATCCACACCCCAACCATCCACACCCCATACATCCACACGCCATACATCCATCCCCATACATCCATACCCAAACATCCACACCCCATACAACCACACCCCAACCATCCACACCCCATACACCCCATACATCCACACCCCATACATCCACAACGCAACCATCCATACCCCATACATCCATACCCCATATATCCACACCCCAACCATCCACACCCCATACATCCACACCCCATACATCCACACCCCATACATCCACACCACATACATCCACACCCCAACCATCCACACCCCGTACATCCACACCCCATACATCCACAACGCAAACATCCATACACCATACATCCATACCCCATATATCCACACCCCAACCATCCACACCCCATACATCCACACCCCATACATCCACACCCCGTACATCCACACCCCATACATCCACACCACATACATCCACACCCCATACATCCACACCCCATACATCCACACCCCATACATCCACACACCATACATCCATACCCCATACATCCACACCCCATAGATCCACACCCCATACATCCACACCCCGTACATCCACACCCCATACATCCACACCCCATACATCCACATCATCCACACCCCAACCATCCACACCCCAACCATCCACACCCCATACATCCACACCCCAACCATCCACACCGCATACATCCACACCGCATACATCCACACCCCAACCATCCACATCCCAACCATCCACACCCCATACATCCACACCCCATACATCCACACACCATACATCCACACCCCATACATCCACACACCATACATCCACACCCCATACATCCACACCCCATACACCCCATACATCCACACCCCATACATCCACACACCATACATCCACACCCCATACATCCACACCCCATACATCCACACCCCATACATCCACACCCCATACATCCACACCCCATACATCCACACCCCATACATCCACACCCTATACATCCACACCCCATACATCCACACCCCATACATCCACACCCCATACATCCACACCCCATACATCCAAACCCCATACATCCACACCCCATACATCCACACCCCATACATCCACACCCCATACATCCATACCCCATACATCCACACCACATACATCCACACCCCATACATCCACACCCCATACATCCACACCCCATACATCCACATCCACACCCCAACCATCCACACCCCAACCATCCACACCCCATACATCCACACTAATACATTCACACCCCATACATCCACACCCCAACCATCCACACCCCATACATCCACATCATCCACACCCCAACCATCCACATCCCAACCATCCACACCCCATACATCCACACCCATACATCCACACCCCATACATCCACACCCCATACATCCACACCCCATACATCCACACCCCGTACATCCACACCCCATACATCCACACACCATACATCCACACCCCATACATCCACACCCCATACATCCACACCCCGTACATCCACACCCCATACATCCACACCCCATACATCCACACCCCATACATCCACACCCCATACATCCACACCCCATACATCCACACACCATACATCCACACCCCATACATCCACACCCCGTACATCCACACCCCATACATCCACACCCCATACATCCACACCCCATACATCCACACCCCATACATCCACACACCATACATCCACACCCCATACATCCACACCCCATACATCCACAGCCCTTACATCCACACCCCGTACATCCACACACCATACATCCACACCCCATACACCCCATACATCCACACACCATACATCCACACCCCATACACCCCATACATCCACACCCCATAAAACTATGACATTTTGCATTTGGAGATAAAGATATTTCCCTTGAGTGCAGGCTCTAGTGGCTGATTTTAGATGGGCAATCTCTGCCGCAAATGTTTCTGTAGGTTCCAGCTGTTTTCTTTCTTCTGGGACATTCAGGATTGCGTCATGTCCTGGTTGTAGCCACAGTCTTCCCTTGTGACATCCAGGTTGTGTCATGTGGTTGCACCCACGGTCTTCCCTTGTGACATCCAGGTTGTGTCATGTGGTTGTAGCCACGGTCTTCCCTTGTGACATTCAGGTTGTGTCATGTGGTTGTAGCCACGGTCTTCCCTTGTGACATTCAGGTTGTGTCATGTGGTTGTAGCCACGGTCTTCCCTTGTGACATCCAGGTTGTGTCATGTGGTTGCACCCACGGTCTTCCCTTGTGACATCCAGGTTGTGTCATGTGGTTGTAGCCACGGTCTTCCCTTGTGACATTCAGGTTGTGTCATGTGGTTGTAGCCACGGTCTTCCCTTGTGACATTCAGGTTGTGTCATGTGGTTGTAGCCACGGTCTTCCCTTTTGACATCCAGGTTGTGTCATGTGGTTGTAGCCACGGTCTTCCCTTTTGACATCCAGGTTGTGTCATGTGGTTGTAGCCACGGTCTTCCCTTGTGACATCCAGGTTGTGTCATGTGGTTGTAGCCACGGTCTTCTCTTGTGACATTCAGGTAACGTCATGTGGTTGTAGCCACGGTCTTCCCTTGTGACATTCAGGTTGTGTCATGTGGTTGTAGCCACGGTCTTGTGACATTCAGGTTGTGTCATGTGGTTGTAGCCACGGTCTTCTCTTGTGACATTCAGGTTGTGTCATGTGGTTGTAGCCACGGTCTTCCCTTGTGACATTCAGGTTGTGTCATGTGGTTGTAGCCACGGTCTTCCCTTGTGACATTCAGGTTGTGTCATGTGGTTGTAACCACGGTCTTCCCTTGTGACATCCAGGCTGTGTCATGTGGTTGTAGCCACGGTCTTCCCTTGTGATATTCAGGTTGTGTCATGTGGTTGTAGCCACGGTCTTCCCTTGTGACATCCAGGTTGTGTCATGTGGTTGTAGCCACGGTCTTCCCTTGTGACATCCAGGTTGTGTCATGTGGTTGTAGCCACGGTCTTCCCTTGTGACATTCAGGTTGTGTCATGTGGTTGTAGCCACGGTCTTCCCTTGTGACATTCAGGTTGTGTCATGTGGTTGTAGCCACAGTCTTTCCTTGTGACATATAGTTTGCGGAACATTAGTACTTTATAAATTCATACGCGTTTTTTTAAAAATCGGGAGTAGCGGAAAGTACTACTTCCGGTCACTCAAAATTTGACAGAAACCAGAGAATTAGAACTTTTACTTTGTTCGTAAAATTTCCGACAGACGGACCGACCAAGTATTTTTAGTATTTTTCTACACACTACCCCGATCTTGAAACAAAATTGCGCACTAACTGCTGCAGTCGACACCATTAAGCACATGAAATGACCACAGACGGCCAACAAACTTTTAGGAACAAGGCGCGGACAAAGTAGCTTGTCTGCGCCGCTCATGGCTTCACTTCTAGACTTCCGTGGGCCAGCTTTCATTTTGGACCAAGTACAATAGAGTGCAGTTCTACAAAACAATTAGTTCAAAGTTAGCTTAGACCCACAGATAATTAGTCTAGGTAAGTCTAGGCTTAGGTTTTTGTTGCTGGCATTTTGATCTACAAATGGAAATAAAGCTAGATCTAGATCTAAATTTAACTCTAACCCGTAATATATTGTAGGAAGCTGCTGAAACCTCACTGTCTGCGCATTTTGCTCTAACTATAAGTACAGATAAGGTAGGCATATGAGAATTGTAGCTGCAATTCTTAGTAAGTAATTCTAAGTAAGTAAACATGTCTTGAATTTTGTAACTGTTAAATACATTGACATGACCTAAATGTCGCCAATATCTTGATGTTACCCTTGTGTGAATGTCGCCAATATCTTGATGTTACCCTTGTCTAAATGTCGCCAATATCTTGATGTTACCCTTGTGTGAATGTCGCCAATATCTTGATGTTACCCTTGTCTGAACGTCGCCAATATCTTGATGTTACCCTTGTCTGAATGTCGCCAATATCTTGATGTTACCTTTGTCTGAATGTCGCCAATATCTTGATGTTACCCTTGTCTGAATGTCGCCAATATCTTGATGTTACCCTTGTCTAAATGTCGCCAATATCTTGATGTTAGCCTTGTCTAAATGTCGCCAATATCTTGATGTTACCCTTGTCTGAATGTCGCCAATATCTTGATGTTACCCTTGTCTGAACGTCGCCAATATCTTGATGTTACCCTTGTCTAAATGTCGCCAATATCTTGATGTTACCCTTGTCTGAATGTCGCCAATATCTTGATGTTACCCTTGTCTGAATGTCGCCAATATCTTGATGTTACCCTTGTCTGAATGTCGCCAATATCTTGATGTTACCCTTGTCTGAACGTCGCCAATATCTTGATGTTACCCTTGTCTGAATGTCGCCAATATCTTGATGTTACCCTTGTCTAAATGTCGCCAATATCTTGATGTTACCCTTGTCTGAATGTCGCCAATATCTTGATGTTACCCTTGTCTGAATGTCGCCAATATCTTGATGTTACCTTTGTCTTAATGTCGCCAATATCTTGATGTTACCCTTGTCTGAATGTCGCCAATATCTTGATGTTACCCTTGTCTAAATTTCGCCAATATCTTGATGTTACCCTTGTCTGAATGTCGCCAATATCTTGATGTTACCTTTGTCTGAACGTCGCCAATATCTTGATGTTACCCTTGTCTGATCGTCGCCAATATCTTGATGTTACCCTTGTGTGAATGTCGCCAATATCTTGATGTTACCCTTGTCTGAATGTCGCCAATATCTTGATGTTACCCTTGTCTAAATGTCGCCAATATCTTGATGTTACCCTTGTCTGAATGTCGCCAATATCTTGATGTTACCCTTGTCTGAACGTCGCCAATATCTTGATGTTACCCTTGTCTGAACGTCGCCAATATCTTGATGTTACCCTTGTGTGAATGTCGCCAATATCTTGATGTTACCCTTGTCTGAACGTCGCCAATATCTTGATGTTACCCTTGTCTGAATGTCGCCAATATCTTGATGTTACCCTTGTGTGAATGTCGCCAATATCTTGATGTTACCCTTGTCTGAATGTCGCCAATATCTTGATGTTACCCTTGTCTAAATGTCGCCAATATCTTGATGTTAGCCTTGTCTTAATGTCGCCAATATCTTGATGTTACCCTTGTCTGAACGTCGCCAATATCTTGATGTTACCCTTGTCTGAACGTCGCCAATATCTTGATGTTACCTTTGTCTGAATGTCGCCAATATCTTGATGTTACCCTTGTCTGAACGTCGCCAATATCTTGATGTTACCCTTGTCTGAATGTCGCCAATATCTTGATGTTACCCTTGTCTGAACGTCGCCAATATCTTGATGTTACCCTTGTCTGAATGTCGCCAATATCTTGATGTTACCCTTGTCTGAATGTCGCCAATATCTTGATGTTACCCTTGTGTGAATGTCGCCAATATCTTGATGTTACCCTTGTCTGAACGTCGCCAATATCTTGATGTTACCCTTGTCTGAATGTCGCCAATATCTTGATGTTACCCTTGTCTGAATGTCGCCAATATCTTGATGTTACCCTTGTCTGAATGTCGCCAATATCTTGATGTTACCCTTGTCTAAATGTCGCCAATATCTTGATGTTACCCTTGTGTGAATGTCGCCAATATCTTGATGTTACCCTTGTCTGAATGTCGCCAATATCTTGATGTTACCCTTGTCTGAACGTCGCCAATATCTTGATGTTACCCTTGTCTGAATGTCGCCAATATCTTGATGTTACCCTTGTCTGAATGTCGCCAATATATTGATGTTACCCTTGTCTGAATGTCGCCAATATCTTGATGTTACCCTGGTGTGAATGTCGCCAATATCTTGATGTTACCCTTGTCTAAATGTCGCCAATATCTTGATGTTACCCTTGTCTGAATGTCGCCCTAGTCCCATATTTCCAGGATAGACCAAGATGTCGAACAAACCATGCGGTGTTATGATTGGCCCACTACGCACCAACATGGACCCTGACACAATGGCCAAGAACGTATTCCGTGTACTCAGCACCGTGGGATTCCGATGCGACCAAATCAAGTCGATATCCGTCAACCCCGAGGCTGGGTTCGCCAGAGTCGACTTGTTCAATCCCGAGCAAGAGTTGTATGCTGTTAAGGTCGAGTACAAGAATAATTTATAAACAGTTCGTTTAAGACTTTTTTTTTCAGGTCATATCGTTTCGACTTGTTCAATCCCGAGCAAGAGTTGTATGCTGTTAAGGTCGAGTACAAGAATAATTTATAAACAGTTCGTTTAAGACTTTTTTTTTTCAGGTCATATCGTTTCGATCAGCTCATTTCTTTCCCAGCTACTAACAACATCGCTGTGTTTCATAATGAAACGTCCAATAAGTTTTCAATAAAAACAAAACGTTTGGGTTGGTAGGGGGGGGGGGGGGGGCGGCGTAGTAAAGCTTATAAGTCACGAGTTTGAACCCTCGAACAGTTGATAGCTGAGGACGTCTACAAATTACTGCTGTCTTCTAATTAGTTCTATAGAAGCAAATCGGAGTCAACGACCTAAATAGCGCATAACCAGTTGACACGTAGACCTAAGTGTCCTGGAAGGAATCCTTTCCAACACTAAAATTAACATCGAAGAAGAAGAAAAACCGGAACTTTAAAATTGCTATATATAAATAAATAAATAAATAAATCTATAAATATATATATATATATATATATATATATATATATATATATATATATATATATATATATATATATTATAGCAGTGTAGGTGATGACGGAGTTGAGGAGCATCATAAATATATTTGTGTGTGTGTGTTTGTGTAGGTGATGACGGAGCTGAGCAGCATCATAAATTTATTTGTGTGTGTGTGTTTGTGTAGGTGATGACGGAGCTGAGCAGCATCATAAATTTATGTGTGTGTGTGTGTTTGTGTAGGTGATGACGAGCTGAGCAGCATCATAAATTTATTTGTGTGTGTGTGTTTGTGTAGGTGATGACGGAGCTGAGCAGCATCATAAATTTATTCGTGTGTGTGTGTTTGTGTAGGTGATGACGAGCTGAGCAGCATCATAAATTTATTTGTGTGTGTGTGTTTGTGTAGGTGATGACGAGCTGAGCAGCATCATAAATTTATTTGTGTGTGTGTGTTTGTGTAGGTGATGACGAGCTGAGCAGCATCATAAATTTATTCGTGTGTGTGTGTTTGTGTAGGTGATGACGGAGCTGAGCAGCATCATAAATTTATTTGATCTACGGCGTCTTACAGACGACCCGAGCGTGATGAAGACGATCAGTTTTCAACAAGTTAGAACACAGATAAAGGTTAGTGACGGGGTTAGTGACGGGGTTAGTGACGGGGGACAGGTTAGTGACGGGGTTAGTGACGGGGTTAGTGACGGGGTTAGTGACGGGGTTAGTGACGGGGTTAGTGACGGGGGACAGGTTAGTGACGGGGGACAGGTTAGTGACGGGGTTAGTGACGGGGGACAGGTTAGTGACGGGGTTAGTGACGTGGGACAGGTTAGTGACGGGGGACAGGTTAGTGACGGGGTTAGTGACGGGGGACAGGTTAGTGACGGGGGACAGGTTAGTGACGGGGGACAGGTTAGTGACGGGGTTAGTGACGGGGGACAGGTTAGTGACGGGGGACAGGTTAGTGACGGGGTTAGTGACGGGGGACAGGTTAGTGACGGGGGACAGGTTAGTGACTGGGGACAGGTTAGTGACGGGGGACAGGTTAGTGACGTGGGACAGGTTAGTGACGGGGGACAGGTTAGTGACGGGGGACAGGTTAGTGACGGGGGACAGGTTAGTGACGGGGTTAGTGACGGGGGACAGGTTAGTGACAGGGGACAGGTTAGTGACGTGGGACAGGTTAGTGACGGGGTTAGTGACGGGGGACAGGTTAGTGACGGGCTTAGTGACGGGGTTAGTGACGGGGTTAGTGACGGGGGACAGGTTAGTGACGGGGGACAGGTTAGTGACGGGGTTAGTGACGGGGTTAGTGACGGGGTTAGTGACGGGGTTAGTGACGGGGGACAGGTTAGTGACGGGGGACAGGTTAGTGACGGGCTTAGTGACGGGGGACAGGTTAGTGACAGGGGACAGGTTAGTGACGTGGGACAGGTTAGTGACGGGGTTAGTGACGGGGGACAGGTTAGTGACGGGCTTAGTGACGGGGTTAGTGACGGGGTTAGTGACGGGGGACAGGTTAGTGACGGGGGACAGGTTAGTGACGGGGGACAGGTTAGTGACGGGCTTAGTGACGGGGGACAGGTTAGTGACAGGGGACAGGTTAGTGACGGGGGACAGGTTAGTGACGGGGTTAGTGACGGGGTTAGTGACGGGGGACAGGTTAGTGACGGGCTTAGTGACGGGGGACAGGTTAGTGACAGGGGACAGGTTAGTGACGTGGGACAGGTTAGTGACGGGGTTAGTGACGGGGGACAGGTTAGTGACGGGCTTAGTGACGGGGTTAGTGACGGGGGACAGGTTAGTGACGGGGGACAGGTTAGTGACGGGGGACAGGTTAGTGACGGGGTTAGTGACGGGGGACAGGTTAGTGACGGTGGACAGGTTAGTGACGGGGGACAGGTTAGTGACGGGGGACAGGTTAGTGACGTGGGACAGGTTAGTGACGGTGGACAGGTTAGTGACGGGGGACAGGTTAGTGACGGGGGACAGGTTAGTGACGGGGGACAGGTTAGTGACGGGGGACAGGTTAGTGACGGGGGACAGGTTAGTGACGGGGGACAGGTTAGTGACGGGGGACAGGTTAGTGACGGGGGACAGGTTAGTGACGGGGGACAGGTTAGTGACGGGGGACAGGTTAGTGACGGGGGACAGGTTAGTGACGTGGGACAGGTTAGTGACGGGGGACAGGTTAGTGACGGGGGACAGGTTAGTGACGGGGGACAGGTTAGTGACGGGGTTAGTGACGGGGTTAGTGACGGGGGACAGGTTAGTGACGGGGGACAGGTTAGTGACGGGGGACAGGTTAGTGACGGGGGACAGGTTAGTGACGGGGTTAGTGACGGTGGACAGGTTAGTGACGGGGGACAGGTTAGTGACGGGGTTAGTGACGGTGGACAGGTTAGTGACGGGGGACAGGTTAGTGACGGGGTTAGTGACGGGGTTAGTGACGGGGGACAGGTTAGTGACGGGGTTAGTGACGGTGGACAGGTTAGTGACGGGGGACAGGTTAGTGACGGGGGACAGGTTAGTGACGGGGTTAGTGACGGGGTTAGTGACGGTGGACAGGTTAGTGACGGGGTTAGTGACGGGGGACAGGTTAGTGACGGGGCTAGTGACGGGGTTAGTGACGGGGGACAGGTTAGTGACGGGGTTAGTGACGGGGTTAGTGACGGGGTTAGTGACGGGGTTAGTGACGGGGGACAGGTTAGTGACGGTGGACAGGTTAGTGACGGGGTTAGTGACGGGGTTAGTGACGGGGTTAGTGACGGGGTTAGTGACGGGGTTAGTGACGGGGGACAGGTTAGTGACGGGGTTAGTGACGTGGGACAGGTTAGTGACGGGGGACAGGTTAGTGACGTGGGACAGGTTAGTGACGGGGGACAGGTTAGTGACGGGGGACAGGTTAGTGACGGGCTTAGTGACGGGGTTAGTGACGGGGGACAGGTTAGTGACGGGGGACAGGTTAGTGACGGGGGACAGGTTAGTGACGGGGGACAGGTTAGTGACGGGGGACAGGTTAGTGACGGGGTTAGTGACGGTGGACAGGTTAGTGACGGGGGACAGGTTAGTGACGGGGTTAGTGACGGGGTTAGTGACGGGGGACAGGTTAGTGACGGTGGACAGGTTAGTGACGGGGTTAGTGACGGGGTTAGTGACGGGGGACAGGTTAGTGACGGGGGACAGGTTAGTGACGGGGTTAGTGACGGGGGACAGGTTAGTGACGGGGGACAGGTTAGTGACGGGGGACAGGTTAGTGACGGGGGACAGGTTAGTGACGGGGGACAGGTTAGTGACGGGGTTAGTGACGGGGGACAGGTTAGTGACGGGGGACAGGTTAGTGACGTGGGACAGGTTAGTGACGGGGTTAGTGACGGGGGACAGGTTAGTGACGGGCTTAGTGACGGGGTTAGTGACGGGGGACAGGTTAGTGACGGGGGACAGGTTAGTGACGGGGGACAGGTTAGTGACGGGGGACAGGTTAGTGACGGGGGACAGGTTAGTGACGGGGGACAGGTTAGTGACGGGGTTAGTGACGGGGGACAGGTTAGTGACGGGGGACAGGTTAGTGACGGGGGACAGGTTAGTGACTGGGGACAGGTTAGTGACGGGGGACAGGTTAGTGACGTGGGACAGGTTAGTGACGGGGTTAGTGACGGGGGACAGGTTAGTGACGGGCTTAGTGACGGGGGACAGGTTAGTGACAGGGGACAGGTTAGTGACGTGGGACAGGTTAGTGACGGGGTTAGTGACGGGGGACAGGTTAGTGACGGGCTTAGTGACGGGGTTAGTGACGGGGGACAGGTTAGTGACGGGGGACAGGTTAGTGACGGGGGACAGGTTAGTGACGGGGTTAGTGACGGGGGACAGGTTAGTGACGGGGGACAGGTTAGTGACGGGGGACAGGTTAGTGACGGGGTTAGTGACGGGGGACAGGTTAGTGACGGGGGACAGGTTAGTGACGGGGGACATGTTAGTGACGGGGGACAGGTTAGTGACGGTGGACAGGTTAGTGACGGGGGACAGGTTAGTGACGGGGTTAGTGACGGGGGACAGGTTAGTGACGGGGGACAGGTTAGTGACGGGGGACAGGTTAGTGACGGGGGACAGGTTAGTGACGGGGGACAGGTTAGTGACGGGGTTAGTGACGTGGGACAGGTTAGTGACGTGGGACAGGTTAGTGACGGGGGACAGGTTAGTGACGGGGGACAGGTTAGTGACGGGGGACAGGTTAGTGACGGGGTTAGTGACGGTGGACAGGTTAGTGACGGGGGACAGGTTAGTGACGGGGTTAGTGACGGTGGACAGGTTAGTGACGGGGGACAGGTTAGTGACGGGGTTAGTGACGGGGTTAGTGACGGGGGACAGGTTAGTGACGGGGTTAGTGACGGGGTTAGTGACGGTGGACAGGTTAGTGACGGGGGACAGGTTAGTGACGGGGTTAGTGACGGGGTTAGTGACGGTGGACAGGTTAGTGACGGGGTTAGTGACGGGGGACAGGTTAGTGACGGGGTTAGTGACGGGGTTAGTGACGGGGGACAGGTTAGTGACGGGGTTAGTGACGGGGTTAGTGACGGGGTTAGTGACGGGGTTAGTGACGGGGGACAGGTTAGTGACGGTGGACAGGTTAGTGACGGGGTTAGTGACGGGGGACAGGTTAGTGACGGGGTTAGTGACGGGGTTAGTGACGGGGTTAGTGACGGGGTTAGTGACGGGGGACAGGTTAGTGACGGGGTTAGTGACGTGGGACAGGTTAGTGACGGGGGACAGGTTAGTGACGTGGGACAGGTTAGTGACGGGGGACAGGTTAGTGACGGGGGACAGGTTAGTGACGGGCTTAGTGACGGGGTTAGTGACGGGGGACAGGTTAGTGACGGGGGACAGGTTAGTGACGGGGGACAGGTTAGTGACGGGGGACAGGTTAGTGACGGGGGACAGGTTAGTGACGGGGGACAGGTTAGTGACGGGGTTAGTGACGGTGGACAGGTTAGTGACGGGGGACAGGTTAGTGACGGGGTTAGTGACGGGGTTAGTGACGGGGTTAGTGACGGGGGACAGGTTAGTGACGGGGGACAGGTTAGTGACGGGGTTAGTGACGGTGGACAGGTTAGTGACGGGGGACAGGTTAGTGACGGGGTTAGTGACGGGGTTAGTGACGGGGGACAGGTTAGTGACGGGGGACAGGTTAGTGACGGGGGACAGGTTAGTGACGGGGTTAGTGATGGGGGACAGGTTAGTGACGGGGGACAGGTTAGTGACGGGGGACAGGTTAGTGACGGGTTTAGTGACGGGGTTAGTGACGGGGGACAGGTTAGTGACGGGGGACAGGTTAGTGACGGGGTTAGTGACGGGGTTAGTGACGGGGGACAGGTTAGTGACGGGGGACAGGTTAGTGACGGGGGACAGGTTAGTGACGTGGGACAGGTTAGTGACGGGGGACAGGTTAGTGACGGGGGACAGGTTAGTGACGGGGGACAGGTTAGTGACGGGGGACAGGTTAGTGACGGGGTTAGTGACGGGGGACAGGTTAGTGACGGGGGACAGGTTAGTGACGGGGGACAGGTTAGTGACGGGGTTAGTGACGGGGTTAGTGACGGTGGACAGGTTAGTGACGGGGGACAGGTTAGTGA